CCTGCCCCATTGCCCAGCTTTTTTTTTTTTTTTTTTTTTTTGGTTTAGTGGTTATTGTTGTTTGACAGGCCCAGGCTCTATTCGAACCTGCCAGCTCCTGTGTATGTGGCCAGCGTCCTAGCAGTTATATGTATTTCTAGAGCCAAACTTCAAGTGTCATAATTGGCTGGATTTTCCCAAAACAGAAGAAAATATTAAAATTTCAAAATGGAAATGTAAATACAGATATCTATAACTGTGTTAAAGTACTTGTTGACTAATTTTTTTTTCTAATGTTTGGGGAATTGAAAGTTTTTTTTTGCAGTTTTGGCCAGGGCCGGGTTTGAACCCAACACCCCCGGTATATGGGGCTGGCCCCTACTCCTTGAGCCACAGGCGCCACCTGGGAATTGGAAGACTTTTTCTACTTATGATGCATTTCTCCCATAATGAAAAGTTCAGTTATGTTGTGTAAATTTCACCATTATAGAATGTGTTTCTAGGCATATAAGTGAGGTGGAAATTTAATTTTTTACTTAAAGGTAGACCAGTTGTGTGTGTGTGTGTGTGTGTGTGTGTCTGTGTCTGTGTGTGTGTGGTGTAAAGTTCAGGGTTAATACATATTTGTAAATGTCTTAAAGTTGATAAACTTTTCACGGCTATAATTCTATTAAAATGAGCTTCATATCAGAGGCATGGTGATAGTTTTGATCTTCATTTGTAAGAAAGTTATTCTCCAGGGTGTTTTCTTCCCTACTAAGTTTTATCTGAATCTGATTCTTTTTTTGGAAACATTATTTTCTCCCTGTTGGGCACTTAATAAGTTTAACATACAATCCAAAAAGTCTTTACTTTTATTGCTACTTTAAAAAAACCTAACTGGAGTTAGATTTTATTGCTGAGTTTGTTGCTATGATCTGTAGTATCTGCAGATAGCCAGATCTTATGTAAATTACATTATTTTATATATTTGGTTTAATTGCATAAAATTGTTAAATAGTTTAGTAGATATTAATATTTTCTATAGTATTTGTATAAAAATATGTTCAGGGAAAAAAGTTGGACCCTGTAACTTTCTTTATAAGTTACTTTTGGGGGGTGTATTTGGAGAAACACGTGGTGCGGGTGCAGTTTGTTCTTAGACCTTTCTCTTAGATTATAGAGTATTAAATCCAGGTGGGTGTTTCTTCCCCCACTCCTCCTCTTCCCCGTGCTCCTCCTCTTCCCCAGCTGCTTCTCTTCCCCCTGCTTCTCCTCTTGCCCGTGCTGCTCCTCTTGCCCGTGCTGCTCCTCTTCCCCGTGCTCCTCCTCTTCCCCAGCTGCTCCTCTTCCCCGTGCTCCTCCTCTTGCCCGTGCTGCTCCTCTTACCCGTGCTGCTCCTCTTCCCCGTGCTGCTCCTCTTCCCTGTGCTCCTCCTCTTGCCCGTGCTGCTCCTCTTGCCCGTGCTGCTTCTCTTGCCCGTGCTGCTTCTCTTCCCCCTGCTGCTTCTCTTCCCCCTGCTTCTCCTCTTGCCCGTGCTGCTCCTCTTGCCCGTGCTGCTCCTCTTCCCCGTGCTTCTCCTTTTCCCCGTGCTCCTCCTCTTGCCCGTGCTGCTCCTCTTGCCCGTGCTGCTTCTCTTCCCCCTACTTCTCCTCTTCCCCGTGCTGCTCCTCTTCCCCCTGCTCTTCCTTTTCCCCCTACTCTTCCTCTTCCCCGTGCTCCTCCTCTTCCCCCTACTCTTCCTCTTCCCCCAGCTGCTCCTCTTCCCCGTGCCCCTCTTCTTCCCCATGCTCCTCCTCTTCCCCATGCTCCTCCTCTTCCCCCTGCTGCTCCTCTTCCCCTAGCTTAGTGTTTTTGTTCACCTTAGTCCCCCAGCTTCTTTATCACCACCTCATCCTCCTTAGCACATTTCTGCAGCCTCAGAAGTCACAGCCTTTCCCCTGCTCTATCATCGAATGTTACTCTTGTCCACTCTTCAAGGCTGAGCCCCAAAGCTTCCAACTTCCCTCCTTTGTGAATCTAACCCTGCCCCCAGGGTCCGTCCTCGTGTACATTCTCAGTCTCCCCCTCCCATTCCAGTTTGTGCTCCAAGTAAGCATTGTCAGTTACCCTGGTGTGTTTTCTGCCTCAACAGCCTTTTATACTGGCTTTTTAGCACAAGTATGTTTTCTTAGCTGTTCGTATTTCTTTTGTACCTGTCACATAACAAGAACTTAGTACTTAATTGCATGTGTTAAATACCCAGTTATTTAGTTTCCTACTTTAAATTTCTGTCAAAGTTATCTTGTTGATTTTTAAGTGTTTTGTTTGTTATTTGTCTTTTATAGATGTAAAAAAAGATTGGTCTGACCATGCTCTCTGGTGGGAAAAGAAGAGAACTTGGCTTCTTAAGACACATTGGACCTTGGATAAGTATGGTATTCAAGCAGACGCCAAGCTGCAGTTCACGCCCCAGCACAAACTGCTCCGCCTGCAGCTTCCCAATATGAAGTACGTGAAGGTGAAAGTGAATTTCTCTGATCGAGTCTTCAAAGCTGTTTCTGACATCTGTAAGACTTTCAGTAAGTATTAGGTACATTCTTCCTTCAAGTATGAGTTACATACATATGACTGACTGGCATGTGGCTTATCTCGAGGGGTTTGGGATTGGGATGAACTGCTTGTTAAGAATGTGTTTGAAATTTCTACTTTATTACCTAAAATTTTTATATTAATTTGAGGTAAAGAAACAGTGGGTACAGAAAAAAATCTAGTACAGATTCTTTCCTTACTAGGATTCTATGAGATACCAACTATTGTGTCACACTTTATTCTGATGGCTTTAGTTTTATGGAAATGAGGAGGGAACAGATGTTATTCTCAGACGAACATGGCTTTTCAGTGTTTCCTTCACATAAGTCACTATTTGATTTTAGTGATTCAGGCAGATTGTGTCACTTCCTTCACTGGCAGCCTGACACAGCCTTTAAGGAAATGACTGTGAGGGTTGTCTTCCTTACCCAGTCTGCAGTTTGAACACTGTTAGAGTAATTCTATTTATGCTTTCTAAAGGGAGATGTGGATTACTTTTGGCTGACCCAGTTATGTCGTATGACAGGAAGTATTCAACCGTCAGAGAAAATGTGAACTATTGTCAAACTGGTGCACAACTATTCTATTTGTTCCTTAAAAAAAATTCTTGGTTAAAGTTACATTTAATGACTATTCATACTTTAATTCCAAATTAAAAAACTACATCTTTTTATGGTTTTTATTTATTTATTTTTGAGGCATGGTTTATCTCTGTTGCCAAGGCTGGAGTGCAGTGGTATTGTGATGGCTCCCTGCAGCCTCCACCTCCTGGGCTCAAGTGAGATCCTCCTGCCTCAGCCTCCCAAGTAGCTAGGACTACAGGCATATGTGATCATACCCAGTTAATTAAAAAAATTTTTTTTTAATAAATGAGGTCTCACTATTTGTCTCAAACTCCTGGCCTCAAATTATCTTCCTGCCTTGTCCTTCTGAAGTGTTAGGATTACGTTAATGAGCTACCACACCTGTCCATACGGTGTGTTTCTGACTTACACTAGTTTATGAATTTAGTCTGTTATGAAAGAATCAAGCAATACGGACATACTTAGTAAGTTCCCCCTTCCTGTACGTGGCCATTGTTGACAGTTTGATGATTTTCTATGCATTAATTTGTCCATGTGGGTTGGGTTTTTTAAATAAATGGGAGTATTTTATATGTATTTTTGTTTTACTCAGCAGTGTTTCCATGTATTATATATACACTTTATTCTTTTTAAACAATTACACAGTAATTCAGAATATAGATGTACTATTTATACCCAGTTGCTTTTCAGCCTTTAAGCTGAGGAAGGTGCACTTTACACCCAAAGTTCCCTGTTACTAGACATTCGGGTTGCTTCACTATTGGAGCAAACGCAGCAGCACTTTCAAGTGGTCTGAATGTTGTTGAAAACATGTGAATACTTAGTTGATGCAGCTGCGGAGCATCCCGCCCTCCTGGCTGGCATTGGCACCCATGCTCCCTGCTAGAGACTGTGGGCATGTGCTGCTCTGTGCCTGGTACAGACATTTGCTGGGGATGGGGTGGGGGGCTGCGACCTCCTGTCCCCGAGCCCTGGACCTCCCATCCCTTAGGTTTGTAGGCTTAGAGTTTGGAGGAGTCTAGATCCTCATTCATTTCTTATGTATGGTTCAGGCTGTATTCCTTTAATCAATTCAATATCAACTTGTTTCTGTCTTTAAAGAATCACTTATCATCTTTGACTTTCTTTTTTCTTTTTTGAGACAGAGTCTCACTGTCACCCTGGGTAGAGTGCGGTGGCATCGTAGCTCACAGCAACCTCAAACTTCTGGGCTCTCAACCAAACCTCTTGCCTCAGTCTCCTGAGCAGAAGACTGAGGACTATAGGTCATAACTAACCCAGCTAGTTTTTTTTCTATTTTTAGGAGAGACCTGGATGGGTGTGGGGATATGGGGCGTCTCCCTCTTGCTCAGGCTGGTCTCAGGCAGTCCTCCTATGTTAGCCTCCCAGAGTGCTGGGATCACAGGTGTGAGCCACTGTGCCAGCCTTTGACCTTCTTACTGTATTTTTCTAGCAACGTTATGACTGCTCATTTCCCCCCATGCCCCACTGTCCACTTTGTCGTATCTTCTGCTGTCACTTGAAGAGATTTGGAGTATAGGAGAAGAGGTACAGGCAGATGTAGATCAGCATTCTGATCTTACGCCCCTGGAATTACTTTTTTATTTTAATGGAGTTTTTCAGGAAAAAAAAAAATATATATATATATATATATAGTATAGAGAGTACTGAATTCTCTTATCTAAAATTAGTAGCTGTTGGTATTTTTTCATTTTTCCAAATTTTAGTTAGAATAATACAGATAAAGTTCTTGAGTCTCATTCTTCTAAGTTCCCTTTACAAAGCAACTATTGTCACAAATTCAGTGTGTATTCCTCTAGTACCATTAAAAAAAAAAAGAAATACATGAGTGTTGGCTCAGTGCCTATAGCTCAGTGGCTGGGGTGCCAGCCATGTACACCAGAGCTGGTGGGTTCAAACCCAGCCCAGGCCCGCCAAACAACAACAAATGTAACCCCAAAATGGCAAGGCATTGTGGTGGGCTCCTGTAGTCCCAGCTACTTGGGAGGCTGAGGCAAGAGAATCGCTTAAACCTAAGAGTTTGAGGTTGCCGTGAGCTGTGACGCCATAGCACTCTACCCAGGGCAACATGGTGAGACTCTGTCTCTAAAAAAAAAAAGAGAGAGAGAGAGCATGTATCTCTGCATATATCCGTAAATGGTGTTATTGCCAGTTTCACACATGTGTACAAGAATTTTTCTTGAGGATTCACCTAGAAGGAGGAGGATTGGTTTGTTTTAAATGTCCATGTAATTTATTTCAGAGGACTGTCAAATTGCTCTCTGGAGTGGTTGTACTAGTTTACACTTGAGCCATCAATGGATGAAAACCAATTCAGTCTGAGTCTAGCACTTGAATATTGTCTGTTTTTATTGTTTCTCTAAGTGAAAAGGACAGTCTTTTTTAGTTCTTAAAGTTAACTGTCTTTATACTGTATCTTTACCACACATCTAAGTTTTTTTTTTTTTTGTCTATATCTTTTATCTATTTTTAGAAAATCAACACCTCAATTTTTAGGGGAGTTTTGTAGTTTTACAGCAAAATTGAGCAAAAGTACAGAATCCTCACATTCTCCTGTCCTCACATGTTCACAACGTTCCATGCTGTCAAAATCCTGCACTGTTGCAGTAGTTTTGTTATAATTATTGAACCTACATTGACACATCATTATCACCCGAGCCTCTGGTTACATTAGGGTTCACTCTTGGTACTGTACATGCTGTGGGTTTGGAAAATAGACACTGATGTGTATCTGCCATCATAATATTGGACAGAATAATGTGTCTCTACTAAAAACCCTGAGCTTTAATCAAAATTTTATTTAATTTTTAAACTTATTTTAGAGATGGGGTCTTGCCACGTTGTCCAGGTTGGTCTCGAGTGACCCTCCTGCTTCATCCTTCCAAAGTGGCACAAGCCACTGCACCTGGCCCCAAGTAAGTGTTTGAGTATGAGAATAGAAAGAAGTCTTTGTATGCTGGCAAGGCAGCACAGTGAGGAAGTGGGGTGAAAAGGGGCTCAGTGCTGCAATCTGCTTAGTGCTATGGAGAATTGGGGGGGATGGAGTTGATATCACAGAGCAGGGGTTCCGTCTTCATTTGGTTAGATCAGGAAATTAGTGCATCAAGATCCAATTACATAGTTGTAAAGTTGAGGTTTGGTTATATAAAAATAAACAAAAAAACGCTACTTGGCCTTAAGTAATATTTTAATAAATATTTAATAATAATTTAACATTGCTCTATTGCTATAAAATATTCCTTGGAAATACCATAATTTTTTTGTGTGTATATTAGGAAAGAGGAAGGGGTGTTCGATTTGCAAAGCAATTAAATTGGGTTGGCAAGACTGGCCCACTGCCTGCTTTTTGTATAGTTCATAAACTAATGACAATTAGGCTTTCACATTTTTTATTTGTTGGGAAAAAATCGGAAGGCTATTTTGTGACATGTGAAAATGATAGAAATTCAAGTTAACAGTTGTATTGGAAAAAAACCCGTGCATCCATCGAGTGATGTCTGGGGCTGTGTTAGCATTTCAGCGCAGAGTCAGGTAGACCCGCAGATCCTCTAATAGATTGTTCAGACCTTCATGGATGAAGCCTAAGTTACTGGGAGATGCTACTCCAGTGGTTTATTTACTTCTTACTACTGGAAGCTAAAAGCTGAGGTGGCAGTATATAGCGTTTCCAGGATAATTGTGGGTTTTTCCCATTAATTACTTTAGGTTACTTAATATTTAACCCAAGTAATATGGTATTTCCCGAAATTATTAATAAAATGAATTCATTTAAGTATTGGTCACCGTGATTTAATTAATGTAAGTCTCTTGTGTCCTCTTCCTGTTGCTTTCTTACTATAAGAACAGTAGAATTAAAAGTAAGAAAGGTGAAGACAGTTCAATTGCTACCAGAATATATTGTTACCTAAGGTTACCAGTTAATGTGCAGGGTGTGCCCACCACTATAAACGGGGCAGTGATGCAAAACCAGCAGAACCCTGTTGTTCTTCATAGTATCCTGCTCATATCTGATAGATGTTATTGTCTTGATCTTTCTCAACATTTTAATTAAGGGCATTTGTTTTATTCTCTGTACTCTATACTATATCTATTTCTCTTACATTTTCTTTCTTTCTTTCTTTCTTTTTTTTTGGTTTGGTGTCTGTCTTTCCTGTTTGAAGCTCTGTTAGTGTTACATTGTTGCCTTAACAAATTACCATAAATTAAGCAACAAATCTCATAGTCTCTGTAGGTTACAAGTGGGGCCCACTGCATGGCTCGTGTCCTCTGTGTAGTCTTAAAAGGCTAAAGTTAACAAGTCAGCAAGGCTGTGTCCATCCCTGAAGGCTCTGAGGATGAATTATGCATGGGAGAATTTGCTTTTATGTGGTTGTAGGACTTAGGCC